GAAATATTACATCATAGTATAGCTGCTATTATTTTAACAATGAAACATGAAAAAAACTATTTACATTTCACGAAATAAGAGACGTTTCGTTATAAAAAAAGGCATGTCTGCGCAATTTTGCTATTCTATTAAAACACAGCGTCAGCCAATCGACTAAAACCTCCATCAAATGTAATAAAGGTGACTTATTTACTTAATTCAACATATAATGATATATCAGCGCTGTATATTTAACAGAAGTTATTAAAGGATTCCAATTAGGGCGGCAAAAACCTTATTAAGGCGCGTGTTTTTAAAGGTCAAGGTTTTACATCTTAGGTATAGACAAGATTTGTTTTTGTTGTTTAAAATTAAATTCATTATTCAGAGGACAATACTCTTTGTCTAAAGCTATAAGTAAAGTTTATTTCCATTAAACAGTTAAGGTTATTGCAAAAAATCCATTATACCATTTCAGAGATAGGTTGAAACTGAGCACAATTTAATTAGAATGACTCTGATCATTCGATATTCAGAAATTAATTAATTCGACTATACGTTTAATTGATTTTGTAATAAAGCGTCTATTTGCGTCGTAGCTTCTTCAATGAACAAACGTATACTACAATTATTCTTCATCTTCTCATTCAAAAGAAAAGGTTTTCTGTACAAATATGCCAATTTTTCTATCAACTAGCTATTTACCCGCGACTTCACCCACGTAATTATAGCTTATGTTACCTGCGTATGATGTAGCTTTGCGTAGGTTATAGACTTTTCATGACCAGATCAGTGTTATCGGAGATTAACCTCTACCAACAAACAATCTAAGTTAGAAAGTTTAAAACGTTAGTATGAATTTCTTCACGCCGTATCCCTTGCGAGGTAGGCAGAGAGGTCCGGGAGTTTTGCATGCCACATAAACGCTATCCGGTTGTTATATGTTTCTATATGAAAATTAACCAAATCTTTAAATTAAATCAATAATCATACTGTCATAAGACCATATAAAATTTATTAGGAGGAGTTATCTTAGATAATTGATATTCGAGGAACGTTCAGACGCAATTGAATCAGAGCCTAGGCCCCTCGAACACCTGCTTTTATTACGTTAGAAAATAAAATGTTCTATGTTACCTCGCGCTTGTAGGTGTTGTGTGGGTAGACCGTTAATTGTTTCATTGAGCCTTGTAATAATTTAAAAATATTAATAATTCATAATATTTAAGAGTAAGTATTACAAAAGGCAATAAAAGCATTAATTACAGTGAAATAGCGTCAGCGTGGTCGGGAGAATTGATAATATACTTATACTATATCCAGGTTGTAGATCTCTATTTAACTAAACAATATTCGTCTTATATACAACTTAAATCTAAGAGGGGGATATTAAGGTATGTGATATGTAACTGCTAAGGAAGCACATTCATCGAATGTGAATTATTTGCATATTAGTGCATTCCATCGAGATCACGTTTATAACTTGATTCTTAATATTCACATACTACAACAGTATAATATGATTAATCAATGTTTATTTAGGATTTTTAAAATTCAGCGCTTCAGGACTTACATGTTTCCCACCATAAAAAATAAATGGAGAAAAGCTTTTATTATAATAAATAAATCTGGCAATACATTAATGTGGACTGAGACCGAATATAATTAAATAAACATTTGGACCGCCCCTCGCAGCCTGCCTTATCACCGCTGACTAATAGAAAGACGTTATTGTTTTAGCCTCGACCCTGGTAAACAAAGCCTTTTTTATTACTTATTATATTAGGATGATTGCTACAGTGTACCTTGTTTTTGTTTAGTTCCCAATATTACTCCGTGATCATGGCGCTTGCAACAGTACCAGAATATCGAGAAGTCGATACAAATAAATTACACGCTAACAATTATTCTGATGTGAATGACCATGTATGTTTAAAACATGTAATTATATGTCTCAGAATATCTCCATCATATTTACGGAGATCGTTTGATTTAGTTTCTTTTTTTAAATTGTTAGTTACTCGATTGTAGAGAGGGCATGATCATCGATACTTTTAATTTTATTAGAATGGTAACACTGACTTTGACAGTTCGTATTTTGGCACGCATTTTGTTTCCGATGGCCGGGGAGTAAAGACATCCGACGACATCACTCTCATCTCGTTATATTTTCTTATGAAAAGTGATAAAATGGAATAAATCCACATTGCTATACACGCCTGCAGTGTTATTTTAAAGATAGTCCCCCGATATCTATTTGGGCTTCGTAATAGCCTCTTCTGATTACCCGCCGTCATATATTTATATACTTACCCTTATGCGATTAAAGCATAAGATTACATACTATAATCTCTAGATTGAATATTACGTTTTTAGGGTGCAGAACTCAATTACTAGAATTTTCTCAGAAGCTATATTTCTATTGCCTCTAACAACAGATACTAATAGAAAATAAATTAAAAAATTAGAACCCGACTACAGCCAATAATAATATAACAAGCAATTTGTTTTATAGCTATAAGTATATTATATTAGCGATGACCAAAGAACAGCGTACCCACTGATCAAAACAAAACAAATAGTTGTGGATTATAAATTATTATTCTCTAATGTGATATTTTTTCCATCTCTACCTCACGAAAATCACAGGATATCTAGTTACTAACGAGGTGGGACCTCGAGCTAGGGTTACGGTCGGTTAGTTAGACACTATCAAGAAATTACCACAAATAGAATTTAGTGAGTACATTTATCTAGTTCAGGGATGGCGAACCTTTGCATATCAACTCATTTTTCTTATGAAATGTTTATTGAGGTCATAGTAGCTCAGAGGTTAGAGCCGCCCGCATGGCGAAAGGTTAAGGTATTTGAGTCCTATCTCAAAGTGTCAGGGATAAAGTGGATTTATTAAACATTTATCATTGAAAATAATTTAGAGTTTGAAATGAGAAATAAATAATTATAATAAACCGTTTTTGTCCCCTGTACATGATACACTACAGGTACCTATTTAAATCTTCCTTAACCATTTTTGTACAGTAAAAAGAAGCTTTTATTTGACATAGTTTTGTTATCTCAAATCATATTATAATTCTCGTATATTGGACAAAGTGTGTGGTCTCTCTTATCTGACAGCCATTTAATCTGGTTAGCACGTGTCGAATACAGATGGTGCCATCTCACGATAGACATAATTGATATATACATTTCATTAAGTTTTCGACGTTCCTATATATAGTTAACTAGACTGGCTAGATACACACTTAGAAAGGGAATAAAGAAAATTCCTAATTTCAAATAAAATTGTCGACGACTTTAGTGAGCTAGTAGTTTGTACGTCATTTTCACGGTTCCCGGTAAAGTAAATAAAGAAATTTATTTCATTTATATTGTTTCGGACCTGGGTGCTTGTGGGACCTTCATTGGGACACATTAAATCATGTCATGAACTAGGTTTCCGTAGATGATGGAATTAAAAAAATCGGAGCCAATTCAATGCAAACAAGCAATTATATTCTTAAAATTCTACCAGCCCTAGGTGCTCTTAGACGGGGCTCTAAAGGTCGTGGGTTCAAGTCCCATGTCAGAGTTCCAGGGGCTGATGGATTTTAAGCATTTTTCAGTATATAATGCAAATTTGATCAAATATAATAAACAATCATACGTTTCCTCTTTATACGAGTAATATTAGTATAGACGAGCTTCATGGTGGTAATCTCGTGACGTCAATTAATTATTCTAAAATACAAACTGTTGTGAGTTGGTAAGAATTGTAATTCAAAGAAAAATGTATTTTCTAATTGTCTTTTTACTGAACCATCAATTTTTTACTGAACAATAATAAGAATAGACTTGTAATATTATAAAAAGGAATTATAACATATGATATTTCACAAAAAAAAAAAAAATTCACAGAACATAACTATTTACAATATAAAGAGTGTCATTAAATAACTTGCTTTATTCATTTAATAATGTCACATGTGTGGAAACGAATGTTATGTTGAGTTAATAAGAAAAGTTTTTCTAATTCTGCCGTAAGGTAGACACTAGTTTTAAGGCTCTCTTGTACCTACGGTTACGTTTCCATACAAATACGCATCGAGAATGAAGACTCGTTTGCTTGATTTCATACATTTTAATCACAGAAATACAAATGCGGTTATAAAAAAAAAACTTATTTTTGTATATTATATTTTTTTACTTGGACTTACAAAACTGATTATAATAAAAAAGAGTAATATTATAACATTTTCACAAAAGAAACAGGCATATTAAAATTAAACATTTTTTCTCGGAAATTATGTAATAATTGCTCAAACATAAATGAATTAAATTATAATAGCAAATACTCTACTTACAGTATTTTACAGAAAAAAAAAATCTGGCTAAAAATACAGAAGCAATGGACGCTTTAAATATGTCGAAGTTAAATCGTATCTATTCATAACTAGAATGCGATAAAACGGTCTACGCTGACCGAGACGAGTTCTACGCAGCGGTAGTGTTAATATTTTTCTCTTTAGTATTCGACTCCAAATTCTCCAAAATGTGAACTTTATGTTCCCAAATGTCAGGAGAGTTAATAAAACCGTTCAATAATTTAAATAGAAACATAACATCAAATATTTTCCAAGTCGTGGAGCTTAATCATTTTATAATATGTTAAACGGGATTCGTGAGTTAAAATTTAACGGCATCTAAAGTCAGAGAATGTAAGATGATACAGGGAGCGTTTTTGCACTAGTTCTAATCTATTGGAATTAACTTGGTAACCTTGATTTTTAACTCTGTAGTACGAAGTGTTTTAGAATATTGCTGTCCTGTAGTACGATATTAAGCTTGATATTTCAGTATCAAGCTTAAGAAGCCGAAAAGCTTTATATATCGTTTTTTAATCTTCTTCATTTATTATTTATATATTAATTTAATCTATAGTTTTGATTTTTGTAGTTTCTGAATTAGGAAAATTGGAATAAACCAAAATAATTTAAAAAGTATACGGACGAAAAAACATAAATATGGAAGGATTTGATAAAAAAGCTACCCCTGGACGTGAGGTGCGGTGAAGCGGAAGGAGCTGAAAAAGAAAACTGCTAGTACTTACTTTTGAGATATATTTATTTTAAGAAGTCCCACAGATAGTATAAGAGATATTGAGATTTAATAAATAATTGAAAGCCATTGAGCTTGGTCGTTGATCCTCGGTACCTAGGTCCTCCTAGAAGATAAATGCTAATGTAGATATATAGAACTTTATACCTCATATACAGGAACTAGCTTATGCCCGCGACTTCGTCCGCGTGGTAAACTTACTCTGAGCAGCATTTCTAACGAATATTTATTCAATATATCGTGTAGAAAACCTGAAATAAAGTTTAATCCCCTATTTTATCTCTTTAAGGGTAGAATTTATCAAAATCTTTTCTTAGGGGATACCTACGACATAGTAGCTTTATGCATGCAAAGTCTCAGCCCGATCGGTTTAAAATTGACAAACTTTCATCCCCTATTTTATCCCCTTGGGGGTAGAATTCATCAAAATCCTTTCTAAGCGGATGCATACGTCATAACATCTACCTGTATGCCAAATTTCAGCCCGATTCGTCCAGTAATTTGAGCTGTGCGTTGATAGATCACTATGTCAGTCAGTCACCTTTGAGTTATATATATTTAGATAAAATTAAATTAAAATCAAGCATATTTATGTTGTACACAGAACAAAGACACCCTGTCATAGATATGGTTATAACTTTACGGAAAAAACAGAGCATATAAGATTTTCATCGAATATCATTTACGTTTTGAAACAGGATTAATGAGTTTTTATATCAGGGCCTGATTTCACTATTTAGAATTAAAAAAGTACCGTTGATATACTACTTAAGAATTAAAAAAGTACTATAAATTTTTGTACCGTAAAATCATACATTAAAGCAGCGTTATTAAGAGGGAGCGTATGCCAAAAATCATCGTCTTTTAATTGGTTTTGTTCTCAAGGAAATAATGTTCAAGTGAGAATTGAGAAAAAAAATACACCATATAAGTGAGGGCACTGTAGGGCCGAAATGTGATTTACAAATAATTCAAGACAGATATCTAAATATTAAATAAACTATACCACAAATGAGCCGTCTACATATAAAATCCACTAAAATATAGGTACATATCTCCTGACAACATATTCATACAGCAATGCTCACAAGGGCTACTAAATAAAGCAAAAATTACCATTCAAAGTTTTTTCATAAAATAAAAACAAAACTTCGTCCTACAGATCGGTTGGAAGTACACAAACGCGTGGCTAGTGGGCAACCTGTCCTGCAAGCTGCTGTTGGTTGTGAGAGCCTTCGGTCTCTATCTCTCCTCCAACATACTAGTCTGCATATCAATTGACAGGTGAGTGATGGTTTATTCATATTAAAAAAGGGCTCTGTCTGAAAGAGCAAAAACATGAAATTACGATTTTTTTTATTTTTTATTTTCTCAACTTTTTTACTATATACTTAACTGTATTTTTCCACGTGTTACGTGTTTTGGAAATGTATAAAGCACTGCGTGTGGCGAGCTAAATACAACTGACGCTTTAGACGTTATATAATTCTCTGAGATCCCGTGTTTAATTCCCAATCGGGTCAATGTAAACAATGATCTTTTCTATATTTTCTCGGGTCTCGATAATGTGGGATTTTCGTTGTGTGATTGGAGTACCTGATACTCCAATATCCGGGGGCTTTAGCTACTCAATTTGAGCGATGTATTAATGTCGTCTATACATTGTCTCATATTCATATTTCAAATATTTGTAAAGCCTTCTCACAACGCTCGACAAAAAGGATACGCAATAAATTCGAATGTTGAAAAAAAATATCTACCTCTATTTTTCTGTTCTATAATACCTACCTACCTCGTTTGTTGTCACCGCAAAAAGTTTGTAATGCAAGCAATCGGGTGTTACCTTATAGATGAAAGGGATATTTGCAGGTTCTTCGCGGTACTGTACCCGCTGCGTGTGCCGGCAGCGCGGCGCAGGAGTCAGCAGATGCTGTACTGTGCTTGGGCAGCAGCACTCGCCTGCAGTTTGCCACAGGTCAGACTATCATTACATTATAGCATCCAACAACACATCAAACTACATAACCCGATATTGTTTAAGTGAATATTTATTCAACCATGACGAAAATAAAGATTGCCTCCGTTTTTAGTATTTCTTAAGAAATTTCATTATTACTATATTAGAAATCATCATCAGACCTTATACGTCTCCACTGTAGGGGCTCCACCTTTCTTATGAACGATTGAAGAGGATGGGCCATGATCCTCGACACTAGCCCAATGCGAATTGGAGGGTATTGAACGACTGCAAATGCAGCAGGGACCAAAAGCTTATTGTGTCTTCTGAACGTGCAGGGAATACCTCGAGATAATATTTTTTGTCACCCATCCCGTGACCGACCTTTGCGAAAGTTTCATAAAGATAATGATCGCAGACCGCGACGCTTATCCACTATGCCACCAAGTCATTCATTAGAAATACTAAATCAGCTATTATGTGGGAGTAACAAAGGACCTAATAATTAAGGCATAAATTTAATAAAATAACAATGAAACCAACTCATTGTTGAATATAATTGAAGTCGTGCTTTAAACAAAATTAAATCGAACGTCAAAACACTGGTGAATGTAAAACAATAATAACCATTACATATTAAGATTTCGTTGGTTGGGGTAAAATCAGTTTTCCTAATATGACTTAGAAGTAGTGTCCGACCGAAGGTCTATTTTTGGCCGAAGCCGATTAATCGGCAATCGCCACAACCTTCGGCAAAAGCCGAAGCCGAAGCCGAAGCCGATGGTTTATAATTTCTCAGTAATTAATTTTGTTCAATATTGTCTACAAGCTACATTTAATATTAAAATTATTTCAAAACTTCAATATTGAAGGTTATATTGACTGTCTCATATAGAAGTTGATTTAGAAATACAGATTTGACAGTGAAGGCGCTTGTGCACTACACTGAATTTTCATGTCCGGCGGTCCGATTTTTTCCGGCCTTATATGTCAGGCCATATGTAGGTAATGCTAGCCTGTGCTAGGAATATTTTTCCTGTCTTCTACGTCTTCGCACGTACAGTAATAGAGCAAGCAATTACCAACGTTTCAAAAATCTCATCGTGCCTATTGTAAGTGACGTGTAGCTTCACAGAGAGCTACCCTTAAATGTACCGCTCCGATCCGGAAAAAAACGGACATGTGCATAAGCTACTCATCCGAGTTTTTCATGTCATTCGGGACCGGAAAAAGTCGGCCCACCGGCCCTGAAAATTCATTGTAGTGCCAAGCGCCCTGACTCCCCGCGGCCTCTGCCAACACGATCGGTCAATCGCTCTCTCACTCAGTTTTCGAAACAGTTCATTCAATCTCGACGGCAGCTCGGACCTTCGGCGAAACCTTCGGCTTCGGCCTAGTTTTGGGCCGAAGCCGAAGGTTTCGCCGAAGATGGTTTTTTTGGCCGAAGGTGCCCGATGCCGAAGCCGAAGCCGAAGCCGAAGCCGAAGCTTCGGTCGGACACTACTTAGAAGTAACAAGCAATGAAAAGGTTGGGAACCACTGATTTGAATAAATATTGTTTTCATACTATATGTTTTCCAGCGACTTCACCTACCTATGTCACTCAATTATAATAGTTTCCTGTGAACTTACAATGTTCTTCTGTGTTGCGTTGCTCATTTTTATTTTATTTTCTAGTTTATTCTTTTTGTTCATTATTTTAATCAAATAAGTAGGTGAACAGAGAATTTCTATAAATACTTTTATTTTCCATTATGTCACTTACTGTTGTCATTATGACATTTCTTTATTTAAACGTTTGATATACTCGATTACTGGTACTGGTATTTTGCTTGTCTCATGCGTGTTTTTCTTTTTATTTTCTATATGTGAAGCCTGCCGTCGACTAGACCCGGCGCATTGAGTCCAGTCTTAATTCGATTCCTATACGACAGCTTCATATTTCCATATGTCTATTGAGTGTGTATGTGTATTGTGTTTATGTTTAGCTGTTGGGCATTCTCTCAGACAACCTGTGGGTATTCGTATATATGTATACAGAACATATTAAGTTTATCTATTTACTTTAGTTTAATCATAATTTTTATTTTATTTATTTATTATTATCATTTTTATGGATATATCTTTAGATAATGATCTCTTTCAATCCTGTTCTTCTTCTTCTGTTTCCAACACTAGTTTCCAGAGCTTAGATCACCCTCTGAATGAGCTCCTTGATGAAACTTTTCGCGATGTTCCTAAAAACTTTAATGTCGTACACATTAATGCACAGAGTATCCCAGCCCATTTTCCGGACGTGCTTGCATCATTTGATTCCAAGCATGTCCACGCTATCCTTGTCTCTGAAACATTTCTTAATCCCTGTTTCTCTTCTACTTCATATTCCTTGCCTGGTTTCCAATTGATCCGTAACGATCGTGGAAGTTCCTGTCATGAGGGAGTTGCTATTTATCTGCGTTCACATATTTCTTTTTCTGTTCTAAGTAGATCTCCCCAGCCACCGCCCCCCAATAATGCCGAGCATCTCTTCCTTGAGGTATCTTTGTCCCACTCTAAAATCCTTCTATGTGTATTTTATAGCCCTTCCCTGCGTGTTGACTATTTTGATTCGTTTGAACAACTCCTTGAAAATTTTGCTCCTTCTTATTCCCATACTATAATCATGGGTGATTTTAATACTTGCCTTATTAAAAACGACTTCCGTTCCTAAAAGTTATATTCAATAATAAACTCTGTGAATTTACATATTCTTCCATTACAGGCAACTCATCACTTTCCCAATTGTACTCCTTCTTTACTTGATCTTGTAATTGTCTCTTCTCCCTCTTTTGTTGGTAAGCATGGCCAGTATTCTGCTGACGCTTTTTCTTATCACGATTTGGTATTTTTATCATATCGAGTTCGTTCTCCTAAGCTAAAGCCGACTGTACAACTTCAGCGTAATTTTGCAAATATCAATCAGGACCGACTGCGCGCAGATGCAGCCAACAAGGACTGGTTGGCGATTTACGATATCGAGAGTGTTGATGAGCAAGTGGAGCTGTTTAATAGACTTTTGACAGAGTTATATGACGTGCATGCACCAACGCGGCGTATTAAAATGAAATGTCTTCCTGCTCCTTGGTTGACAAAAGATATTCGAGTGTTGATGAAAAGGAGGGACTGGGCTAAAGTGAGATACCGACACGATCCTTCAAATGTAAATGAGGCAAAATATAATCGAGCTAGGAATCGGTGCAATACGGTGATCAGGGACGCCCAAAGATGTCATATTCACAAGTCTGTCGAAAATGCAGATCCAGGCAAAGTATGGAAATTTCTAAAATCACTTGGAGTTGGCAAATCGCATAACAGTGTTCCTTGTAATAATTTTGATGTTGATCGACTTAATAGTTACTTTTCCACTTCTGTCCTTATTGAGAGCAATCGTAAGGCCGAAACTTTACATTGTCATTCTACTCATGACTCTTGTTTTTTTCTACACCGATTTGCGGACTGTGATGTTAAGAAGACAATACTGTCTATTGACTCTAGTGCAGTAGGTAGCGACTCCATCAGTCGCAAAATGATCATTCCTATTATAGACGTCCTGGTTCTCGTTATAACCAAGATCCTTAACAATTTTGTCTAGACTGGAGTTTTTCCTTCGTCTTGGAAGGACGCATTTGTTATCCCGCTCCCAAAAAAATCTAATCCTTCATCATTCTCCGAATATCGTCCTATATCCGTACTACCTTTTCTCTCAAAAGTTCTAGAAAAACTTGTCTATCGTCAGCTTATCGCTTTTCTTAACTCAAATGACCTCCTTAATCCTTTCCAGTCTGGTTTCCGAACAGGTCATAGCACTTCTACTGCACTAATAAAAATTACTGATGACATTCGACGGGGTATGGATGATCGGCAGCTTACATTGGCATTGCTAGATTTTAGCAATGCCTTCAATTCTGTTGATTTTGATATACTGCTCGCTATCATGGTTTCTCTTAACATATCTCCGGCTGCAATTGGTTGGTTTCGAAGTTACCTGTTAGGGCGTCGGGGCGTTTGTTATACAGATTTGTCTGAGGAACTTCTCACTAAATTAGAGCGTCTGCAGAATGCCTGCATCAGATTTATTTTTAACCTTCGTAAATTCGACCACGTGTCTCAATTCCGCTCCAAACTCAACTGGCGCCCTACATGTTGCACCCATTACCCCATATTATTTATTTATCTGTTTTCCTCCATAGGTTGCCTGGAAGATATTGCTATATAGCAATAAGGCCGCCTTTTTGTATACTGTTTTTTCTTTTCTCAAACTGTGTAATTTGTAACTCGTGTGTTCAATAAAGTATATTATTATTATAATATTAGATTATTTGTAGAAATTTAGAATACCCTCAACAATCAAACAAACAAAGGTAAGAAATTTTACCTCTATATAAGATTAATATAGATGTAACTTAAATAGCATTAAGTAACTTCATTACTGTAAAAATATACAAAATAATGAAATAGATTTTATCCATGCTTATTCTGTGGATACCTCATTCATGTTTGGCTCTGTCAAAATAAAATAGACTTATAAATATTTATTTAAGAATGGATTGTGTACGATCTATTTTAATTAAAGTTATTTGTGTAGGTCTTAATGTTGGGTAGAGACTCGACAAACAACGATGTATTTGTTTATACCAATCCTGCATTCTCATTTACATACGGCTATATAATTGTCTATTATGATGTTTCATGCCAATGACCGGAGCTCATTACTTTAGCAGTTATAGAGGTACTTTATTTATAAGCACGTTATTGGACAAGACCGTTGCTACTAATCGAACGAATAGGGACAATGAACCATGACTCACGCGGGCCCAGTGTGGATTGGTGCATGTTAAACGGGACCAACAGCTTAACGTGCCTTACGAAGCTCGGGTTCGGTGTATATTTTAATCATCCACCCTATGGCCGGCCATTACGAAATATGCTTTACATCGCAGATCGAACCGAACTCTCTCTATTGCATAGCTATTATACCTTTCTAATCTCTGCCATGCTTCGTCATTAAAAACGACTAAAACGCTCTGTGAATAATTCATTCATGAAATACGTAGGTAGTTCATTAGGAAAAACAACAATTATGATTTCAGTTCAATAATTTTTTCAATAATTGGTGCCTTCGTTATCATCATGCAGACTGAAAATGAAGCATTGTTTACATAGACAGAGCAGTACCTCAGGATACTAGCATATCTTTTACGATATGGTTTACGAGTAATAGTCGACCGGTTGTATTTAACTCTAAAATTTCAAACAACTCCATAGATAAACGTGTATTTTTTTATTTTGTTTATTAACTCAGCATATTTTTTTTTTAATAATTCTATACTCATGATTTATGAAAGACTTTCATCTACTTAATACGCGTTGGACATAGACTATAATTTATGCAAGTGAAGTCGCAGGTAAACAGCTAGTTTGATAGAAATTGGTATACTACATCGATTGACATACCTACTTTCATAAAAAATATACATACTTATTGAACACAGAAAATTCACCTATAGGGTTTTGAAGAGTCACCACCGCAGTCCATTAAGCTAAAAAAAAAGAATTTTGAAAATCGGTCAATAATTGGCGGTAAAATTGGTGAATATACATAAAAAAATACATAATAGTATGTTTCTCATACATACTTTTGGATTTTGAAGACGTTTGAAAATCAAGTAAAGTTAGTATAACCTGACCTTTTGTTGACTGTGCATGAACTGTGTGTACGTCACAAAATAATTTACATATCAGATAAAAACTCTTATTCGATGTAGGATTGTTTAAAGCATTATTTCGAAATTCGCTCGAGTTCACATTCGTTGTTTTATTACATCGTCTATCGGTACACATATTAATACCTAACAATATTTTTATAAGCCTCACGTAGTTACAAGAATTTTTAACATTTTTACTGTGAATTAAAGCGGTAAAAGAATTTGTAAATATTCATATTAGAAGAATTTGGTCGGCTTTCTTGAGAGTATATTAGGCGTAAACTCAAATAGGTGCGTATCAAATTATAATTTACATTGGTTCAATTTTACAAAATGAATATTAACTTGTACTCGCGTATAAGTATCTTAATTCCATTAAAGATACGCTCCATCAATTACTCGAAAATATAGTTTAATATTTAATCCAGTAATGAAAAACCTTTAACAGTCTTACCTGCGTACGTACGTACATAAGTACTTAAGGATATTTAGGGATACGTTCCTTAAAATATAAAAAGAAACGCTCCTTCGTCGTCCGGCTGCCTGTAATTTTTTTCTTTTTTTTTACGAAATACTTTAGTAATATTATAAAGTTGTTATCTTTCTAACTTTTTTGTCTGTAGGGGGTAATCTTGTCAATACTGATCCGATCATGAAAATTCTTTCATCTACTGGAAGCTACGTCATGCGCGGGTGATGCGTATTACGAAGTGAATTTACGCAGGCAAAGTCGCGAGAAAGCAGTTAGTTGAATATATGTTATTTTGTAACCGAGGGCTAGCCGAGGCAACATTTTTACATAATCCTAATGATTTGGGAATAAAAAGACAGTTCAAAATAGTTTCTACGCGCAATTTGCAGTAAGAAATGGAATATTTTGGCTATAAAAAGCCGAGCCGAAATTTCTATTGGAAAAGTTTTCGGCGATATTTGTCATTTTTAGTATCATACCTTATGTCTATCCTTCACTTGAATGGTTCCATTGTTTTTTGATCTACAGATGAAATAAACTTAATAAGGCATACATTTCATGAAATCTTAACATTTTTTTTGCATAATTTGTGAATGCAGTTCAGTATCTAAACCTAGAAATAAAGAGGCGGGGTGTAATTCTATAATGGGCCCCGAAATAACGGGACCAATTTTTAAAATTCTTTCACCTTTGAGAAGCTACATCATACACGGATGACTTAAACTATAATGTTTGCTGTCGAAGTTCCGGGAAAGCAGCTAGTAACCTATGAAGTTATGGATGGTAATTATAGAAACGTTGATGAAATTATAGAAATGTAATGTCCCGTCTCAGCAATCCAACCCTGTACATACAAATTTAAATTCAAGTAGTCTTCCGATAGTCTGTAGTCTGTATATTAGTACGGAACCTTAAAATGAATGTTTCTATTTCACATGACACAATCAGGTCAATTACACTACAAATGAAATAAAAAATCTTATAATGGTTCACTCATCAAATACATAATATATTTAGGTATTAATCAGATATTAAAGTATACCGAGATTTACAATCCAAACACAATGTAATTCACAATTAATAATGTATTGTTACGAATAGGTACCGACTCTCACTGATGTTAATTAAATATCTCTACACATGTGGATCAAATGAATACCAAATGTGCATATTAAATAAGAATTAATTAATTAATTTTCTTTAAATTATTCCCAATTAATATTTCCTTTTATAATTTATACTTGACTATTTTTTGTTTTTCCATCAAATAAATTGTTGGAAAATATTAAACACGCTTTTTTTATAATTTGCGTAATCATTAAATTACTACAATACATTGAGTTAAAATGTCAGATGACGTCACGCTTTTGTACATTTTCTACTAAACTGTGACGTATCGTAGTTGAGGAGTGGGGGTATCGAGTGAGTACCCCCACTCCTCAACTTTAATGCTTATTATATCAGCTATTTTTTTAAATTGAATTAAATAGCAAATGTATTTTATACATGTTTTGCTATTATCTGACTGACGGACTAAATACACTTTCTGTTTTTTTCATCGCATTTAGAGTCATCATCCCTTAGCTGTGTCCAATACAGCGTCTAATACAGCGCTGCGGCAGCGGATGTTCCTTCAATCAAATAAAAGCTTTATTTCCTTATGATGTATGTTCAGGGAGGGGTCTAGCAGCGGCTAGGATTTTTCCAACGGTTTGTTGCATAAAAATATATATCACTGGAATAATTAATGAAAATACAAAGCTCAGATTGTTTTTAAAGTTTCATTTCTGGAAAATAAATTGCTATTACTTTCTACTTTCTACATATTTAAAAATCGCCTTGTACCCAGTGGCTAGCACGCCCTGGTTCACGGTGGATCTAACAGTAGAGTGACCATGATTGACACCCGAGTTCACATGGGCTTTTGAAATATACAGGAAAATATAAAAGTTTAGATTGTTAACAAATAAACTTGCAGAGTCTTTTGGCAACTGAAAAAAAAATAGGACAACTTAAAAAGTACTGATAATTTTGTCGAAGATAAGAAAGTAACATACACCGAGTTTTTGAATTAAAGAAAACAAAATAAACTTACCTCAAAGTCACGAGCCACTGTGTACAGTCAGCAGCACATTAGACTGCACAAAACTGTCCAGTTTCTTTACTTGATTTCAAATCTTAATATATGTATGACTCAGGCTTGTTGCGAATATCGGCATCAGCATGAGCATCCGCATCAGCAACAAATAATGCCGATTTTAATGCTGACATTCAAGTTGTAACGCTTTCGTTGCAGACAAGAAAGTAAGTTCAACAAGCTGGCACATGCTTGCTCATTAGCTTGTATTGTCAACCTAATTTGCTTTAGACTGTCAATGTCGATAAGAATGATAACTAATTTGTTTATCCGTCTGTCCATCAGGTAGATTATTGAAGAATATTAAACACGTATTTTTTATTATTTGCGCAATCAATAAATTACCTACGTCGACATATTTACCTAAATTATTACGTTTTCAACATAGTAGTGACGTGCAAGCCCCTACTTCTCAACATCAATGCCTGTTATCTAAGCCATTTCTTATTAAATCGAAGTAAAAAAAATACGTTTTTAATATTTTTCTATTATCTGACTGATGAACTAATTAGAATTTCTTTCTTTTTTTTACCCAGGCATCATCCATATTGTTAAATACTAGCTGTTCTCCCGAGACTTCACCCGCGTTCACGTAGACATCTTGGCTACTTGAGTGTTTTGGGAAAAGTATTTTAAATCTTTCTTATGATTTTTCTCCAAAGGGTGTTATCAAATAAAGTTAAACCTGCTTTATTCATTGATTTAAATTCACCTCAGTCAAAGACAATCAGTCACGTGGCATTTCGAGTCATGGCGTTATATTTCAAAAACATGAGTACGTTGCTCTCGCAACAAAGACGTTTTCGTTTAGTTTATTAAAAATGTGACGTCACACAATGCTCCATTATGGCCGCCAGCTGTTTAGTTCTTGTAATCCACCGATTGAAATCGACGAAAAAATAAAATAGAATAATTTAAAAACAACATTTTTATTGTTTACATATTAGTAACAATTCTTTATAAGATTAGTTTATATAACGTGTGTTAAATTCAAAATAGCATACCACATTTGCTAATAGTTTTGTGGTATGTATTTAATTTGATTTAATTTTTTAATATCAGCATTTAGGACGTAAGATCAATCTAGAAAGGAGCACAGAAGCTGAGGGACCTCAAATTAGCCGTCAATATTTTATTAAATCGACACACTCTACTAGTAAAATATTAGTGATTAAAAATAACGTACTAGTTAAGAAGAAAATCAATTAAAACTACCGAGAAGAGGGTATGTGACTGAAATTTCTCAAGAGCTTGTTAGTTTCATTACTCGGAGCGTATTTGCATCATAATTTTCACGCATTTTAAAATACTCGTAGCATTCTTACAAAATTCGATAAAAATAATTCATAGGCACTAGATAAAAATATGAAATCTAGCAACTTCGATACCCAACAAGTATATGCAAGACACAAATTCACATGTACAGACAACAACGAATCTTGCACCGATCACCTAGTAGAGAAGGAGTTGTTAAACCCTTATAGTGGCAAATACTTGTTCTCAGAGCATAGTGTTCAGAGTGAAGCGTCATCCCCGCGTCGCTGGCTTCGAGCAGTGCGTGTCGTTCGATGCGTTCAGCAACGAGAGACAGGAGGTGGCGTACACTGTGTTCTGCCTGTGTGCCATGTACTTCGTGCCTCTGGTCGTCATCACCGTGTGTTACGTGTGCATCTTCTGCGAGATCAGACGGAGCAGCAAGGAACTCGTTGGTAACTATTATATATTACCAAATAATTTATATAATATATAATACAACTACTCACAATTGATAACCCAGGATCGAAAAGCATGGCGCCAATGTCCGTACCTTTGACGAGGTCCGACCCTGGTCGAACCGGGTTTAAGCAAATAGCAACCAAAAAACGGGCAATGCCAAAATATGAAATGAGCGTTGAAGGTGAACGATACGACAGCCTTTGTTTCGTTTTCGTGGAGTACTGTCTGCTATTGTACAGTCTACTACAAAAACAACGGCGTTTGGATTGCATATATCAAAATCGCTTGTTGATATATATTCTTCAATGCACGCTGGCATCAATAAGCTTTTCTTTTAAATACATACTTAAATTTTAACATCACGTTAAGTTACTACAAAATAACAAAAATCCCAATTGAGTCAACATAAACATTTGAAAGCTATTGATTAGTTAGGACGAATATAATAATCAGCTCTATTGTCGAATTACCATAGTGGTAAACATTAGATATCAACTGTTTATAATATTTCTAGAGTTCTGACATCTGCCAATGCCACAAATTAATTTGTATTGAATATTTAGTAGTTTGTAATAAAATGAAAATATTGCAGTAACTTGCTATAAACCTAATATTGCAGAATGTAGCGACTGTGACTGTGAATGTAATAAAGATAGATTCAACTAAAATAACATGGATTTTAATATAATTCTACAATAGATATGTACCCATACTAATATTATAAAGAGATAAAATTCCTAACTTTGTTTGTTTTTTGGTTTATCTTCGTTCATTAATTTTTTTCACCTACAATTTACGCAAGCTAAGCCGCGGCGAAACTAGCTAGTAAATATGTAAAAAACATCTATAAAAAGTTGCTTTTGTTAAATATATAATTTAATAATTTTAATTAATATTGATTAATAATATAGCTTTAAAAGAATATCAACAGTTTGAGAGTACAAACTAAAAATAGTTTTTGTCGGGCAATATGCAATTTTGTCTTGATTTCTCTTTTATTTTAACCTGATAAATAGAAGAAAAAAAATAGAAAGGTCGCAACGAAACCATAATCAGATCAAACGAAGGCTGTCAAGGATCGCTTTAATAAAGCTATGGAAAAGTAATTTTACAATAGGCTGTTTGTTGGACGTTTATTTGAGTCACATTTTTTGCGCAAAACATTTAATCTTAATTGAACATCTGATACAATTTATTGTGGAAAAAGAAAATAAATTTTTGTTTCAAACTAAATGACAAACACAATTCTCAATATTTTCTATAATTTGATTTGAGAATAATTTAATAAAACTTTTCAAGATTATTTGAATAATTTGTATAACTAAATAAAAAGGAGGCATGAATCCAAAATACTATCCCTGTCAGATCAACTTGTATACGGTAGCTGGTGGGGCAAGCAGTCCATGCTGGCCCTTACCTAGACAGGGATAGAGTTTTGGCTTTACACCCGGCAATAAGATAGATAAGGATAGAAGATGTCTAGCGAATTGGGTGGTTTTTAATTAATCACTCACAAACTATTACGATTATTGAACTGCTTCGTCTTTAAAGTGACTAACTACATATTTTCTAAAAAAATAGGTTCAATTATTTGTGATTTCTTTTCTATCGACAATTTTTTTTTAACTTATGTTTAAGTGTTGTGTCAGAAACGGAAACTACATTATGTAATCGTCTTATTTATAATTACAGCTTCATTATAAATTATTTCTTTATTAAACACCAGTTGAAAGTTAAGCACATTAGGTGTTATCAATTTAAAATTAAATTTTGCCAGAGACCGCTATGAGTCATGAAATATCAAGAAAACTATTCCACAAAAGGAAATCAAAAAGTATTTACATTAGAATCGTTCTTTGCGTAGAATCTACAATTAGATTTACTTTCAGTATTACCCATTCAAATATTTATATTAGCTTATTAGAGTATAACTCGATCAAAGCTCAGAGATACAAAAGCCTGTATAACAAATACTTCCGCAGAAACTCATTTCATACAACTTGGAAAAGTTTGCTCGTTCATTTGAATGAAAAATTGTATATAATATTTTGTGTCATTGTTGGGTCGTGTAAGGTTTTGATTAAACGCTTGCTTTACTCTGAGGAATTTTATAGCGACCCTCCAGAGCCTTTGACCCAACGTAATCACACGAGGGAACGAAACCTTCAAATACCTATTTAATTAACTTAGCATGTCAGTTTTATGGCATTTTTGTTCTTAATGATTAAATGTGTATTAATATACGTAGTTATTCATTGAATGACATCGAATATCACTCCATGAATTTAATTATTAATTAAAAATATAATAATAAAAATAGTCATTATACTTGATAATGATTTTATTCACAATGCTATATTGAAATATTCTGTAAGGTAAACTAAATTAAAAGCTTAAAGAGCCGCTCAGAGCCGAATCGAACTCATGAACAGAAGAATGCGCACAGATATTAAATGTTTAAAACCATAGACTTTCAATAGGATTATTATATTACCTCCAGTAGTTACACAACATCACATACATTGCTCAGATTCCAAGATAAGTATTTGGAGCTCTCGTATTATAGAGTAAATGAGAAACAGTGGTACCACAAAACTCAGTCCTGAGACAGTAAAGTCATTTTCTACATTGATCCGACTTACTGATAATCTGTGGTGACAGACAGACAGGCAACCGAGTGCTACTAATAAGAGTTCTATTTTTAGAGCTCCGTAGCAAACACGGAACCTTTATAATTTCGCCATGTCCGTCTGTCAGTCCGTCCGTCCGCGGTTTAACTTAAAAACGATTTATATCTACTAGAAAGTTGTAATTTGCCATGAATATACGCGTTAATTACGCCATTTTTTTTGTTTTGGGCTGTCGAGCCCTATAAAAACATTTTTTTTTTAATATTTAAAAGCAGTTAATTTCACTTTAAGCAAATTATGTTGCAGGCTTGGTAAGGTGAATTATTTAATGAGATTATCCTTTCCCTAATTAATTAGTCTTTATTCTCTATTGTAACCTCTCAGGAGGTTATAGCGGATGTTATACATCCGTTTTAAACATACATAATGAAGCAAGTTAATATTAGGGGTCAAAGAACTCGTATGAAATTGGCCTTTTTTGTAATAGGTTCCTTGAATTGACATAAAATCTTCATGATTTGAGATTTTCGAAAGAAACGTTTTTTACACGATTTCTTTGATGTTTTTTATTAAATGTGAAACATTTGTATATCGACTTTCAATTGTTTTTATTATTCAACTTAGACCAGAAAGATGTATACTGTGAAAATTCGAGTGATTTTTGAATACGAGTTCAGACGCGTAAGTAACGCGGCAGAAACAGCTCGCAATATCAATGTTGCATTTGTAGAGGGGTTTGCTAATGAACGCACCGTGCGATTTTGGTTTAAACGCTTTCGTTATGGAAACTTCGACTTGAAGAACGAGACACAAGAAAGACCACCCACACACCGTGAATAACGATAAATTAAGAGAGATGGTGGAAGCCGATCCTAGTCAAACTACCCAGGAATTAACGGCATGGTTTAACGTTACTTTACTCACAATATTTACTCATTTTCGTCAAATCAATAAAATAAAAAATACGAAAATTGGGTGACTCATGATTTGACTGATCTGCAGAAAGAAACGCGTGTTGAAACTTGTATTGCCTTGTTGAATCGGTATAGAAATGAAGGCATATTTGATCTAATTATGACATGTGATGAACAGTGGATTCTTTATGATAAACGTAAAAGAAAAATGCAATGGCTCACCCCAGGTCAAACGCCACTACACTGTCCTGAAGCAAAACTTACCAATAAAAAGGTAATGGTTTGGTGGTCTCAGTATGGTGTTATTCACTATAGTTTTCTCCGATCTGTTCAAACAATAACGGCAGATGTCTATTGTGCCGAACTCCGAACAATGTTGGCAAAACTAGCAGTAAAATAGCCCCGACTCATGAATCGAACTTCACCATTATTGCTCCATGACAACGCGAGACCTCATACAGCACGAGAAGCCGTTTTGACCCTTCAGGAAGTTCGTCATTCTCCGTATTCGCCAGACCTTGCTCCAACGGACTACCATTTTTTACGTGATTTGGACAATTATCTACGTGACAAGAACTTTTCTTCTCAAAAATGCTTTCACACAGTTTGTGCAGTCTTGATCCTCAGAGTTCTATCGCAAAGGCAAACATGATCTTCCAATTAGATGGCAGTAATGTATAGATAATAAGTGGTAACTATTAAGATTAAATAAATTTGTTAAAAATTAAAAAATGAACAATTTTGATTTTCAGTACAAATCGGCAATTTCATACTTTAACCCCTATTATTAACATACCTATATTCTTATATAGTACAAGCTATTTTGCCGCAGCTTCGCTCGCGTACGTACCCGTGGATAAAATAATTCTTAAAATCGGTCAAGTACTTCTATTCTATGCAAAAACAATCAAATCTCTTCATAATATCAGATCATTGGTTCTCAACTGGTGGTTCCAAGAAGCATCCCAAAGTAACTGAAAGTATAGGTATAATATTGTTTTGTTTGTTAACAGAGAAGTGTATAGAGCATGGCATAGCTCACGTGCGCCTGCGGCGGTCGGGGCGGCGCGTGTTGCAGCGCGCGCGCAGGCGGACGCTGCGCATGACCGTCACCATAGTGAGCGTGTTTGCGCTCTGCTGGCTGCCGTACGCGACCATGACCATGTGGTAAATATACTCATCATCATCTGCTTGTGGATATTTCGGCCCATTTATCTGCGCATCAGAAGCAGTTCTAGGTCCTTCCTCTGTTGAATCATAAATTACCGTCTAATTTGAAGTCATAATAGTGTTTAAAAAAGATGAGGTTTGGTTTCGGAGAAAGTGAGTAGACCTGTAGCAGCATGATAATGTCCCCAAATATCATCGTTTTTTTATTCGTAGGCTTATGGGGTTGAGGTGGTCCCATATGAACTTTAACGAATTTTGACTACTAGTTTTATTCTAAAACAAAACTAGCTTTTTAACATCCGTTGTATAGTTAAAAAGATCTCTGCAGACAGTAGGAAACGACTTTATTTTATACTATGTAGAGATAGCAGTAACGGTTCTGCCAAATAACTTAAATGCTATATTTATTATTTTTATTATCATCGAAGAAAACAAAAGTTTGCGTACCGTACCTATTTTGTTTTCTTATGATTATTAACGTTCTATTCTTATCGCTTCCTGATCAACGGCTCAACAAAATCTTCACCTGATTTCAATATAATATAAAAAGCTGGTAAGTTTCTTTCGCTTGTTCTTCTTGTCAGCTAAAAGACGTCCTGAACAAGTGGTAGGGGAAAAAAAATTTTTTTTGGACGATTCAAAAGTGCTTGTATTAGCCTACTTGAATAAAGATATTTTCATTTCATTTCAATAGAAATTTCATGAATCACCTAAAATGAGTATATTTTTTAACATCAGTTTTTTTTCTATTTAAGTACGCGGCGTTACAGTTCAAGCGTTAAAATTATTGCTATACAAATATATAATATAATTAGATTTTTATTTACTGCTGGTATATGTATTGGATTTTGTTCCCATTATTAAAATACTTCGTCTTTATTATATATTTACTGTAAGATATAATTGAGACAGATCAGAAGAAAAAAAAAAACATTATACAAGATCTCTAGACTGAAAAAACTACTCTTTGTGTATAATGCTTAGAGAAAAGAGCGAGAAATATGCAATATTAATTTGAAAAATCATTGCGTACCTTTGATTATACTTGTCTCGATATAGTGTGACATGGTGTAGTGCCTAAACGTTAAAAAAAAATATGGAATAACTGCCACCCGGTTAGTTCAAACTGTCAGGTAGAGAAAAACATGTATTTTACCACATTTGAAAATTAAAGTTTGCGCGTATAAAGTGTGCAGGAATTACAAACAAAGAATGGAATCAACTAAAATTATTACGTACCATCGGTAAGTAAACTTCAAATATCCATTTAGATCAATAAATAATTAAAATACTAAAATATAATTTTGCTTTATGATATAACAATTAGTATACAGGGTTACCAAGTCTTGAATTCAAATCTCCCATTAGAACGTAAGTTAATTACAAAATAGGTTTAATTACGATTCAAAAGATACATACTGATATTATAAAAATGTTTTTACTTTTGCTCATATTTATAAGTCTGTTTATGGTGTACAATAAAGTCACTTTAAATTTTTTCTTACTTTTTTACAGATTTTCCTCGAGAAAATGACATAACTTAAGCATGACATTTTTAACCTATACACGGGGAATTTGAATGAAATAAGAACTGTTAATAGCTAATATTTCATTTCAATCCTTGTTTATTTATTTTGATCGACCAATTTTTCATTCACAGTGTTAATTAATTATTACAATCATTAAAAATATCATGTATATTTGTTAAAAATATTTGCTTATGTTATCGCTTTTACTCAACTACAGATCCAGGTGTTAGACAAGTAGCTTTCGTATCATGGAGTATGTGAAACAACGAATTCACCACAGTGAACCTAACCTAACAAAACCTTCGCTTTGTTACACGCTGATCAACTTTTATTATTGTAAAACAAATGAATTTGTTAGTACCATGTTCTATGTAAATGACAATATAGTATATAGAAATAATTATTGCATGGAGATGAAGAAGGTATATTTACATTGATTAATTGGTTTGATGAAATCAGTCTTAATGTTGATTACGCTATACTTGGATAATATTGTTTTACTGTAGATAATATATTGGGTTATTGGGTTGGCAGAAAAATCTATAACATTTCCTTTTTAAAATCAATTTTTTCGATAATATTCTAGAATGTTGTAGAACATTCTAGGTACTTCTGGTGTAGGGTATATAAAGCTGCGCTCGCGATTTGTTTAGTCAGTTTGAAGAAAAATGGACGAGCGACAAGTTCGAACACTATACTTACACGAGTACTTGTTAGGCCACAGTGCGCGGGCTGCGGCTGACAATATCAACAATGCATTAGGCGCTGGAAGTACAAGCCATGCGACGGTGTCTCGATGGTTTGACCGTTTTAAATCAGGAGACAGGAGCCTTGAAAGTCAGCCACGCTCAGGGCGACCACCCGCAGTGAATGATGACGATTTGCGCCGCGAACTGCAGTTGAATCCGGATGCTACCACTCGTGAATTAGCGGAAGCAATTAAATGCAGTCACCATGCCGTGGAACACCATCTGTATGAGCTTGGTTATCGAAAAGTTTTGGCTCGGTGGGTACCGCACATCCTTACAGACGCCAGTCGTGCAGTCCGTGTCGCTATCTGTCAGTCACATTTGCTGCGACCCCGACGTAAAGAGTTTTTGTCAGATCTGGTTACTGGAGATGAATCATGGATTTATTACAAGAACGATACACGTCTTGCTTTTTGGCTGCCTCGAGAAGAAACGCCACCAACTCAACCGAAGCCGCCGTTATCTGCCGCTATCAAGAAAAAACGACGAAGACGAGTCAATGTAGTTTTACTGCACGATAACGCTCGACCTCACGTCGCATCTGTGGTTCGCCGGCAGTTGGAGAACTTGGGCTGGGAGACGATACCCCACCCACCTTATTCCCCAGACCTCGCCCCATCAGACTATCATTTGTTTAGAGCCCTGAAACAGCATTTGCGGAGTAAACAATTTAATGATTTCTCTGACGTAGAGGCGGAGTTGAACAACTTTTTCGAGGCACAGCCATCAGAGTTCTGGGCAAAAGGCATCCAAACTTTGCCGGATCGTTGGCAAGAAGTCTTAGATACTAATGGTAATTATATCATTGACTAAACCTTTTTATTGTAATAATAATAAAAAAGTAAAAACTTAAACCAAGTGTCTCATTACTTTTGTGCCAACCCGATATTTAGTGTCTAAAAGACTTCTTTAAAATATTCTGTGAATAAAACAACTGTAAATAAACTGTACCTAATAATAACACCTGTTTTACTATGTGACATGCAATAAATGAATTATTATTATTATTAAACATTAAAAATAAATAATTTTGAGATCAAAAAATGTATTATTATTTTATTATGTACATATAATATAATGAGTAAATAAATTATTGATCCAACATCGTCAAAATACAATTTACCTACTTTTGTGAGAAATATTCCGTGAGCTGGTATCACAAGATCAGCGTACGCCTATAAAAGCAATACTAACGCACACTAATGTGCACCCTGACAATTGAATTACATATCTGGCCGGATAGCCTGCTAGTTTTTTGACAATTGTAGCGCAACACTCTATCTCAACAACTATATAATCAAAGTTGCGCACTTTTAAAACGAGATAAAGAAGTATTAATCTCGATAGCTTTTGTTTAGTTTAGACAAATAGTTAATTAATTGGATAATCTATTTGAAGAAGCGACAAGCATTTTCATCGGTGACAGAGGATAAACAATTAAGTCTCGTTATAGTATTTAATTGCCTACGATTAAATCAAGCTAAATAAAGGTATTTATCTAAAGCAAAAAATTTCAGATACAAACAGTACACACACATCAAATTAACGTAACATCTGCCTGTGTAACGTGACAAACTCGAGAAATTTGAGATATGTGCGTGAGCGAAACTAGGAGTAAGATATTGTATGATCATATCTGGAACCTCTCGAGCGTTCCTCGTATCTCTCAAGTTCATCATAATTCTTGTGCTGGTAGAAACCATTCCCAGATGCTGGGCCTATTTCCTAGTGGAAACAATGATAAATAATATTGTATGTAAACTCATTAACTGAAAAATCAACTGAATACTTTTGAGTTATGATTACTATTTAACTATTGATGTACCCTACCTACAATCGTAATAGTTTTGTTGACAGAAATATTTTAATTAGCGATGGGCGTTGAATCAACGAACTAGTTAAATCAACCGTTAACGTAGAATCAACGCGTCGACGGTTGACAGTTCTTTGGTTAACTAGTTGAAAAATCGACGCCTAACGAAGAACCCATCGTTCGTCTAACAACTTGTTATGAAACTGCAACGCATCATTTTCCATTCATAAAGATTCGATGTAACTTTGATTGCTGAAATAATTTAAACTCTAAAGTCAATGGCAGTAAGTAAAGATTTCAATACGCGCGTTTAGTACATAGGCCTTGTATATATGAATGTCAAATGCGATTGCTGTTTACATTTGTTTCTAATAGATGGTGTTATACAGTTCTTGTATTTATCTACACGGCGGTGTTAAGAATTTTACTAATTAGTATAGGTCAACTGTTGTAATAATTTTTTTTTTTTAAATTTTGCATATACTCGTCCAATTGTGTGTTTTATTAGGGTTTCCTTGGGATTTTTTTTTGTCTGAATAGTCTATCTAATCTTTCTTTCTCTGAAAGAACGTTTATAGATTTTTTTTTTATTTTAGAGAATTTAATTCACTCTGGGCAACTGTTATATGAATAATTTTGAATATTAAGATTAATAATTTTATTTTGAACCAAAACAAACAAAACCTAAAGTTCAGTATATCTATATAATTATGTTAAAATAATAAAACATATCACTATAAACGAAAAATAATATTTATTGATAAATATAATAAAATATTTATTAAAGATTTTTAGTTAGATTATTAAAAAACATGAAACTGTAAATTTATTCTATTATACCTACACCACAGAAATATTTCTGTGACCTACACCTAGGTAACTATGATCTTACACAAAATAAATATTATATTATTTTTTATATCCATTAACGTGAAGTAGTTCGGTCAACTGCGAAAGTCTATATAGTCCATCCAATAAGGTTAATATTTGTATGTACGTTGGTTGTAGTTCATAAATAAACGCACACTCCCATCCGTCGACGTCCATCCTGTCGACGTAGTTGCATACGTTAACTATAGTTGATAATTCAACTAGTCGAATTTTCAATGATCAGATGAAGAGCGTTACGTTTGTTGATCAACGTACACCTAGACTACAACGCTTTAGTTTTGTCGTATAATACAATAAAACAACCAGTTAAAAAGTCGGCGGCTAAAAGAAGAACGCACCGTTCATCTATAAACATGTTACGAAACTGCAACGCATAACTTTATCTGTATAATACAATGGAATGCGGTTGTTTCCATTATTAAAATTTCATGTAACTTTGACAGCTGAAATAATTTACACTCTAAAGTCAAAGGAAGTAAGTAGATATTTGAACACGCGTATCTAATACATAGGCCTTGTTTAAATACATGTTAGACTTTGTTTGTTTACGTTAGTCCCCGATAGATGGTATTATACGATTTTTGACATGGCGGTGTTAAGAATTTTACTACTTAGTATAAGTTAACTTTTTCCTATTACAATCGATTTCTTTTTCTTTTTTTTTTTGCATCCGAATTATATAGTGATTCATTAATTTATTATTATAATTAATTAATGATTAAATTAATTATCCTATTACAGAAAAATTTCATAATATTTATTTTAATTGTATGTTTAAAAAACGGCTAAGTACGAGTTGGACTCGCAAACAAATAAATCTGTTGTATTTGTACGGGAGCCAACTTGAGTATTTATTTTATTTTAATTTAACTGTTTATTTTTAAAGTGAATACGTATATAGGACAAATCTTCGGTAAATATTTCAAGGGTCATCTCGCTGCAAGTATCGATATCGAGCAAAAACATTATTTTATTAAATAAAAGCCAATATTTATTCTGTTTTTAGTATTTGTTCATTATTGTCAAAATAAATGAATCTTATGTGAAAATTTTAACTATCTATCTATCGATCAAGGTTCATGAGATACAGCCTGGTGACAGACAGACGGACGGACAGCGAAGACTTAATAATACGGTTTCGTTTAAATTACAATACCCAAAACAACCACAGATGTACAAAATAAAACCATAACCTACCTGACAATAGATATTCTTACGTTAACACGAAAAAAAAACCATAACCAGGTACAGATGATCAACAATTACTTTTCAATATTGATATACGGTTCAATAAAACAATTTAGACCGTTAAACTTCGTCCAAAGTTCATACCCGTTGACGTAGTTTTATATGTCAACTATAGTTAAAATCAACTAGTTGATCGACTAGTCGATCAAGGTCCATGAATGGCTTCGTTTCGTCGACGGAAACTTAGTCAACGACCCATCTCTAAATGATGATAACAAAAAACAATAGGAATCCAAATTAATTACATATTTCCAAATTTACGTACGTACATAGTTAACTATTCCCTCTTAGTGAGCTAAAATCAGTTGTAAAGTATGAAGACTTAAACCCATAACAAAGTATTCAATTAGTAGACGCGGAGAATCTTAACACCGCGATTCAGAAACGTGCATGAAATAAACGCCATCTATCGAGATTAGTTTTTTTACTCGGCGACTTGGCGAAGAAAAATAGTATTTTTTTTTTTACCAAAAATATTTGTTCTTCATGCTTTTTTACTATTTTTTTGTTTGTATATCGTTTATACTTTAAATAAAAACTTAAATCAATAAGTAAGAAAATTTGCGAAAAGAAAATATGGCGTCTGGTTATCGCTGTGGTAAATTTTGATTACGGTCATGTCTTTAGTGACGCTCGCAAGGTTAAGACGAATCGATTGAAGTAAGAAACATTAAAATCGGCCTACGCATATAGTCTCTGGAACGCCACATAGAAACAAACATACGTACATATGTACATAGACTGATAAACTTATTACTCTATAAAAAGACAACGTTTCGTTTAATAAAAATAAATACCTAAAGTGAAATAAAAAAGTGCGAGCACCGAACTGGAGATATTTAGTATTAATATTTTTTACTTTTTAATATGATAGTCATTCCAAAATACTTAACTGAATAAACAGCTGTTGTCATTATTATATGAGAAAAACTTGTAAGCGCCAACGTCCCCTAAATATCTTTTATTTAATAACTATTTTTTTTAATTACCAACTAGGCCTCTGTCTGTCTATCTCAGCTATTCATTAAAATGTTGACTAAATTAATTAACAGTTTTTTGACAGAATCAATTATAATTGAAATTTATTTTCTAACCTGTAAAAATCTTACCTTGAGGCGCTTATGATATACTATTCAGTTATAAATATCATGAAGTCAGCTCTGTGACCTTTTGAAGTAAGTTTCCTTAAAACTTGTATATATTTTAATTTATTATTAACCTTATTTTATTCAAATGCAAGAATGCAAGTTAAGCCTTTGGTCCCGGCTGCATCAGTAGTCGTTAACACCCAACGATTCGCATTGGGCTCGCTTAGTGCGTCATGGACCATTGATCCTACTCGATACGATCTCATCTATAGGAAAGAAACAATTCTCCTTATATACTTTCCCACGCAGACGAAGTTGTGGGCAAAGCTAGTATAATATATTATGTACATAACATTTTACTAAGTGAAAGACGTTCTATATTTTTAAGTATATAACGAATTCAAGTAGTTTTCTAATTACTCCACAACACGCATTAGAACAGTTGACACCAAAAATAGCACGAATACAACGGAGATGTCGTGGGAAACGCAAACTAGCCATTATTGTAATAAAAATAACCAACATACGTGGCGACTACATTCTATTGTGAATCCTATTTAATTATTATAAATGGGAATGGCTGTATATTTGCCTGTCATGTTACAGGCATAACAGGAAAATAAATTATTGAACAGATTAGGCTGAGAATTAATTGTGACTGTAGATTTTTATTGAGAATTGTACACGGTTACGTTCGTTATAGCTACGTATAATCAAAACGTTCCTACTCACCAAATTGACCAAAGAAATAAAATGGTTATATGTACCTCGCATAGCATGTTTGACTTGAAAGACTCGAGAAACCGAGAGCGAGACCAAGAATGAAATGGGAGAGCATATATTATGTCACATGTATTTGAGCCCATCGTGCATTTCTCGAGTTCGTCATACTACGTATGCAGTTTTAGTCTGGATGCACATATTAGTTTTCCATGTTCAGTTTCCTGATCAGTGATTCAGATCCAGAGACCCAAACACGCATCTATCATATTTTTTTGTATCGTTTTCTACAAGGACGAAACCTAGTGTTCATACGAAAGGCGAATATGTGTTAAGATTCTCCGCGTCTACTAATTGAATACTTTGTTATGGGTTTAAGTCTTCATACTTTACAAATGATTTTAGCTCACTAAGAGAGAATAGTTAACTACGTACGTACGTAAATTTGGAAATATGTAATTAATTTGGATTCCTATTGTTTTTTGTTATCATCATTAAAATATTTTTTTCAACAAAACTATTACGATTGTAGGTAGGGTACATCAATAGTTAAATAGTAATCATAACTCAAAAGTATTCAGTTGATTTTTCAGTTAATGAGTATACATACAATATTATTTTTCATTGTTTCCACTAGGAAATAGGCCCACCATCTGGGAATGGTTTTTCTTGCATCAACGCATAGAATAGGCTGTTATAATCGCATGCCGTATAACGACTACACTATTGACTTTGCATTAATTATGGCTCTTTTACATCGGCTGCTAAGGGCCACATGAGAAGTGAAAAATTCTCTGGGCTCATTTTATTAGTCGATAAATGACAAGCAATAATCTACTGATAAATAAGTCCACCAAATTCACCCCGCCAATTAATCCCGCCAAAAACCCCGTAAATAATCCCGCCCAGAAACGATATAGATGCATGGTGTACGTTGAGAAATTAAACAGTATCTCTCTTATACAGGTACATGATAGACCGTCCATCAGCGGCGCGCGTATCAGTACGTGTTCAAGACTTACTGTTCGCGATGGCGGTGTCCAACTCGTGCATGAACCCCCTCGTGTACGGCTCGTACACGCTACACGTGCGCGCGCCGCTCAAGCGACTGTGGCGACGCGCCTGCTGCCGCTCCAGTGCCGCCTCTGATACCATTGGTAGCTAACGTTCTGCATGCTCTTCTTTCCAGTAGTTTGATGCTGTCATAAATCCTGTTCGCTTCGAGTCACGTTTGGGAACCATGGACCTGAAAGCAGCGGGGAGAGCCGAAAGAGATGTCCGGTAGAAGACTTACCAGATAGTAAAGGATTGGTTATTAGCGCATTTCTTCTCCCTGCCAAATACAGTGGAGAACATGTCATCCAACTTTGACTGAGAAGAGTGTGAGGGGTATAAAATGTTGCAATAGTGTTGCCATCTTCTAATATGCAAGAAACATTTTTCCAGTAAAAAAGATACAGCAATAAAGGTAACTAGGAATAGGCTGATATCTTAACTGCAATAAGAGCATTACGAAGAAGCTACGAATGTGCGGGCATCATAATTAAGGTGAATGATCGCGGGTGGAAATCATACATTACATAAGGAAACTGTGTAGACCTGAATAAGGAAAATGAGCGTAAAAATAAAAACTTTTGCCATTTACAATACAACGCTTATATACACCATAAATTTTTAATCAACGAAAAAGGTTTTCTATAAACACGTTTCATTATGGTGATCATACCATTAATTGCTAATTTTGGACAACTGCTAGTTAGTAATATTAAAATTTTAACTATAATGAAATAATTAATTTTTATTAAAAAAACTACAGTGCTGTTTTCTCTGCTTAGAATTCTAAGCTGTAGGAGAAAAATTTTGCACTGATTAAAAAGTCACTCTGTATATCATTCAATTAACATCAGTTGTATCGCGGTACCAGTACTAATAACTTTACCTAAAAAGAAGACTTTCCCTTTTGTTAATCGGGAACAAACCTTTCATAGATAACACATTTAGTGACAACAATTGGTAAATCAGATTAAGTAACACTAGATTAATAACTATAAACAGTTATACAACAAACTTCTGCTTGGCAAATTTATATGTTGTACATACTTATGTACATTTTACATCTTAAGGTGATAGCACATTTAAATGGCTCAGCAGCAGCACGGCATCGTCACGAAATTTTAATATTGCCCTAGCTGACAGCGCACTGATCACCATAAAAACAAATCGCGCGCCGCCCGCGAGGTGTAAGCTCGCACACAGCAACTTGCAAACTATTGATATCGGCGACTATGCGTCTGATGGGCGGCATGCCGTCGGCGGGCGAACTGTAAGTACGCATAAAGCGTGCGGACCTAACCTAGCAACTTGGATTTGACAGCCCGCCATTAGTTTTTTTATATTGACATTTTTAAATATATTATATGCCATATTAATTAAAGGTCAAAACATTACAAGTTAAGGTGAACGTACACGTGTCAACGCCCACGCAACGGATTATATTAAAAATTCCTATGATGTCATCAGCATAATTCCGACGTCAAAACTGACAGTTGTATTTTGCATAGTAGTATCTATAAAATATGCGACTGCAGTGGACGTATCCCATCGACAAATCTCAGCATTATGTTGCGTGTCGTGCGGCCGATGTGTGCGTGCCAATGGATACTGAATATTACCTTAAGGAGGACAGAGCCCTTGCGGAAGTTTGAGACAATTTGATTGATGATGTCCTTAATAATAACGAATGATATAAGTTCTCCCTCGCTTAAGAATTATTCATATCCATTTTGTGGCAAATATATTGGTGATGCACGTGATAGCGCTAATGAGCGGTAGTGACTGAAGCGGATATTGAAATGTACTATCTTAAAAGTCTGTAACTTTGTTGTTTGTATAACGTTTTTTCTTTGTGTCAAAACGGGACATAGTTTTTTTTTTAAGTTATGGGTAACGAGAGGAGGGTTTAGTTGAAAATCATGAATTCTTGTGACTAAATTTATACATGGCCCCTTTTGAGCTCAGATATTTATGATAAAAACAGCTACTACACCATATACTCCGACGTTATGATGTAGTTTCAGACTTCTTTCTTATAAGTAGTTAAGCCGCTAAACATTTTGGTCACCGATCCTATGATTAGCCCTTAGGTAACTTGCTAAACCTCCACACTGGAATCTCATTAATCTCTCAACAAAATATTATATATATATATATATATATATATATATATATATATATATATATATATGGGGTGTAAGGGGGTCCGAACAACATCTAACGGATCCCAAGCCAACCTCACCTGCACGCGGTACACCCTGCCGACTAACCAACGAGGCTCTGGCGCTCCCCACCAACCCGCATTGGGCCAGCGTGGTGGGAGACGGCCCAAAACCCCTCAGAGATCAAAATTGAACCAAACGAAAGGCCCTGAGTGCCCGGCGGTGCCGTAAGCCGTGCTGGCGCGGACGGACGCCAACTCGGCGAAGGCACCTGGGGTGCGAAGAATCCCCGGGCGGCAAAGATCCCCCGTCAAACGACCTTGGCCCTGGCAACCTACAACGCACGCACACTGCGGACCGAGGAGAAGCTGCTGGAACTAGAGAAGGAATTGGGCAGGATTCGTTGGAGTATTGTAGGATTATCCGAAGTCCGAAGAGAGGGCGAGGACACGATGATCCTTAAATCCGGTAACCTGCTCTATTTCCGGGAGGGCGAAGATCTGTCCCAAGGTGGCGTCGGGTTTATCGTCCACAAGTCTCTCGTGAACAATATTGTACAGATCGGAAGTGTATCGAATAGGGTGGCGTACCTTATACTCAGAATCACCGAACGGTATTCGTTGAAGGTCATACAGGTTTACGCCCCGACCTCGACGCACCCCGACGAGGAAGTGGAAGCCATGTATGAGGACATTTCCCGGGCAATACATGGTTCCACGACCCACTACACTGTTGTCATAGGAGACTTCAACGCAAGGCTAGGCAAGCGTGGCGATGAGGAGTTGAAGGTGGGGCATTTTGGATCTGGGATCCGGAATCACCGTGGTCAAATGCTAGCCGACTACATGGAGAGGGAAGGACTCTATATGATGAACTCCTTCTTCAAAAAACGGTTGCATCGAAAGTGGACCTGGAAGAGTCCGGATGGTGTGACAAAAAGCGAGATCGACTTCATCATGTCGACTAAGACTCGGATATTCAATGACGTCTCAGTGATCAATTCGTTTAATACGGGAAGCGATCACCGTATGGTAAGAGGCGCATTGAATCTAAATGTAAAAGCTGAACGGTATCGACTGGTGAAGTCTACGCTCCGTCCTGAAGCCACCCAGATCCGGGACCCCGAGCACTTTCAGCTCGAACTTCAAAACCGCTTCGATTGCCTGGAGAGCTGCTCGGATGTGGATGAATACAATGACAGGGTCGTAGAAGCTGTCCTTACGGTGGGTTCAAAATTCCTCAAACCTCGCCGTACTCAAAAAAGAAGCAAGATCTCGGAGCAGACAAGCAAGCTAATGGAAGAAAGGCGTGAAATGGTTCTGCAGTCTTCTGAGGATGCTCGTCGGCAACTCAATAGACAGATCTCGAAGTCTCTCACACGCGACATACGCCAATTTAATACTCAATGTATTAAGGAGGCGATTGAGCGGAATAAAGGCTCCAAAGTGTTCGCTAGAGATCTGTCTCTCGGACAAAGCTTGCTGACGAAGCTAAAGACAGAGGACGGCAGAGTCGTTACATCCCGTTCTGAGCTTGTGGCGGAGATCGAACGCTTCTATGGACAGTTATACACAACATCACAGAAACCTGTCATTGAGGCTACAGACCCTAGAGCCAAATTAACCCGACATTATACCGAAGACATCCCGGACGTCAGTCTATACGAGATTAGTGTGGCTCTCAAACAGCTCAAGAACAACAAGGCGCCGGGGTATGATGGAATCACAGCGGAACTTCTGAAAGCGGGTGGACTACCAGTCCGGAAAGCGCTTCAGAAGCTATTTAATTCCGCCATACTCGAGGGCAAGACGCCAGAAGCATGGCACAGGGGCGTGGTGGTGCTTTTCTTCAAAAAGGGCGACAGGGCCCAATTGAAGAATTACAGACCCATCACGCTTCTGAGTCATGTGTACAAGCTGTTTTCGAGAGTCATCACGAATCGTCTCGCACGTAGATTTGACGACTTCCAGCCTCCTGAACAAGCCGGTTTCCGAAAAGGTTACAGTACCATAGACCACATTCATACGCTGCGACAGGTTATACAGAAGACCGAAGAGTATAATCTGCCACTATGCTTGGCGTTTGTGGACTATGAGAAAGCCTTCGACTCCGTCGAGACCTGGGCCGTGCTTAGGTCACTCCAGAGGTGCCAAATAGACTATCGATACATCCAAGTGCTGCAGTCACTGTACGAAAATGCCACCATGTCAGTTCGGCTCCAGGACCAAAACTCGAAAGCAATACGACTACAGCGTGGAGTGAGACAGGGCGACGTTATATCGCCGAAACTGTTCACTGCCGCACTGGAGGACGTGTTTAAGCTTTTGGACTGGAGAGGACTTGGCATCAATATAAACGGCGAGTACATGACGCACCTTCGTTTCGCTGATGATATCGTAGTCATGGCTGAGACCATGGAAGATCTAGGCACAATGCTCGAAGACCTCTGTAGAGTTTCCCAGCAAGTGGGTCTTAAAATGAACATGGAGAAGACAAAAATAATGTCAAACTCCCATGTCGTACCCACTCCAGTGAATGTTGGAGGCTCTACACTGGAAGCTGTCGACGAGTACCTTTACCTGGGACAAATAGTCCGATTAGGTAAGTCCAACTTCCAGAGAGAGGTAAGTCGACGGATCCAACTCGGCTGGGCAGCGTTCGGGAAGCTACACAGTGTATTCTCGAAACATCTACCGCAGTGTCTCAAGACAAAAGTCTTTAATTCGTGCGTGTTGCCAGTGATGACATACGGTGCTGAGACGTGGCCGCTTACGATGGGCCTCATAAGGAAGCTCAAGGTCGCTCAGAGGGCAATGGAAAGGGCTATGCTCCGGGTTTCTTTGCGAGATCGAATTAGAAATGATGAGATCCGCAGAAGAACTAAAGTCACCGACATAGCCCAAAGAATTGCAAACCTCAAGTGGCAGTGGGCAGGGCACATCGCTCGCAG